CTTTTTGGGTACCTGCTTTGGTGGTGCTGGGTTGGGTCTGCACTCTTAAGGCTAAGGCTAAGGCTTAAGGCTAAGGCTAACATAGAGCAAGGCTAGCGCTAAGGTTCTATCCCTTGGGGGTCGGCGGCTGCAGGCGGTAGCCTGGTAAATCCGGGCGCCGGCCACGAAGCCCGTGTCCTCGCCGGAGGCCTTCGGTGGTAACCGAAGGTTATAGACGGTCGCGCCGGCTGCCGCCGACCCTCGGTCCCAAAACGGGGGGACGACCGGTTCACTGAAGCCCCTGTAATTTACAGTGTATCGTGTGTGTGAGGTATAAAAAACACTGTGTTTTACAGGGTTTCGGGCCCCTCGGCAGCCGAGAATTTCATCTTGGCGATGTCAAAAACCTAGGTTTTTTCATGGTTTTTGCTTTGCGGGAAGGAAAAAATCGTAAAAAGTTGTATCGGAAGATTTTTTCAACCTAAATCGCCTAACATATCCCCAACATAGGCCCAAGATAGCCAACATATCCCCAACATATGCCCAACATAGCCTCCAAGATGGCTCAACATAGGCCAACTTGGGGCCAACAAACGCCAACATAGGCCCAACATAGGCCCAACCTGGGCAAACATAGGCCAACATAGGCCTAACATAGGCCGACATAGGCTCAACATAGGCTCAACATGGGCCCAAGATGTGCCCAACATAGATCACATGGGCCCAACTTGGCCCAACCTAGGGCCAAGATGCGCACCAGATAGCTTAACTTTGCTCAATATAGGGCCCCCATCTCCGACGCGGACCAGTTTCCCACCTTGGCACCACCCAGGGCCCAGTACGCCCCCGATAGCTTAACGTGCACCCGACCCAGCCCTACACAGACCCAAGTGGGCCGGCGCCCGGCTGTTAGGCGTAAGCCTTTAAATACCTGCTTTCGTCCATCCCCGTGTGTGTAACGGGGTGACCTTGGACCCCCCATTCTATAGCTATAAAAGTGGAGACGCGGAGTTTCGGCGCTACGACCTGCCAGGACCTGTCAAATTACTTTACTTCGAGTGATCCCCACCAAGACATTGCAAAACGGCTTGTTGACTCCACGTAAGTCTTGGACGCAGAGGGTGGCACCTCTCACAGGAAAGGTACCGAGAATCTCCACTTAGAAAAAATACCTGCTTTCGTCCATCCCCGTGTGTGTAACGGGGTGACCTTGGACCCCCCATTCTATAGCTATAAAAGTGGGGACGCGGAGTTTCGGTGCTACGACCTGCCAGGACCTGTAAAATTACTTTACTTCGAGTGACTGAAGCTTTTGTCACGCGACTTTGGCGTAACTAACTATCCCGAGCATTGGGACCATAGCCGTGAGACACAACTGAAACCATATTTGAAAGACTCACCATCTCGCAGGGGGTCTGACATTCTAGCTGGCATAGCTTTTGACATTCTATCTGGCATGGCTTTTGAGAGGGCGTTGGGGTCTGGTAGAAACACTGGGCATGGATGATCGTGGTGGAGGTCCGGCAGCGAACACTGGGCGTGGATGGTCGTGGTTGACGTCCGGCAGGGAACACTGGACGTGGATGGTCGTAGTTGAGGTCCGGTACGGAACACTGGGCGTGGATGGTCGTGATTGCGGTCCGGCAGAGAACACTGGCCGTGGATGGTCGTGGTTGAGGTCCGGCAGGGAACACTGGGCGGGGATGTTGTGGTTGAGGTCCGGCGGGGAACACTGGCCGTGGATGGTCGTGGTTGAGGTCCGGCGAGGAGGAGAAGGAGAAGTCAGCTAGCATAAAAGCTAACAACCCTCACCTGGGAAAAAACACTATAATAACAAA